CAGGAAGGGGGTCGGCCGGACGTAAGGCGCCCCTAGGGAGGCATTCGGAGCCTGGAAGGTGGTCGGGCGCAGGGAGGTGGGCAGCTCAACGCAGGAGCGCCCCCTACTGGCCCGCCACAGGACGTACTTCTCCCGCTTGTGAGCCTGGGCGTCAGCGAAGGCTTGGTGCTGGTTCTCAAAGGGGATGGTTACATCCATGATCATGACCTTCTTGGCCTCTTCGTTCGTGAAGGTGATGTCAGGTCGCATCTGGCTCTCGCAGCCCGGGATGGTGCAGTTCACAGAGATCTCCCCCACTGCAGCCGGGAGGGCCCTCACCAGGCAGTCCTGGACAGCGTTGTGGCAGAGCTACCAGGCTCTGGTGTGCGGCTTGCAGCTGCACAGCACGTGGGGGATGGTCTCTACCACTTAGCTGCACTGTCGGCACCTCTTGTCCTGGTAGCCGAAGCAAACAGCCCCATTCAGAGGCAGGCAATTGAGGCGGGCACAGTGGAGGAAGCGCCAGTCCGCGAAGCGTCTGAAGATCCCACTGGGCATGAAGTGGTTGCTGGAGTCCCACTTTGAGGTGACATTGAAGACCTTGCCCTGGTTGGGTTTGGCCCTCAGGTCACTGGCGTACTTGTTTCAGATGGCATCCTTCAGGAAACCTCTCCAGGAAGGTCCTCATGTAGGGCGTCGGTCGGCATGCAGGGCTGGTTCCAGGGAAACTCCCAGCTCCCAGCACTCCTCAGCCCAGGTTCAGGTGTAGCCAATGTGTTTCCTGAGGCATTGCGTCGTGTTGTGGGCTTGGCTCCACAGCAAGGCAAAGTCCTTGCTGTCTTTGCTGAATTTGCCCTCCAGCGGGCTGCTGAGAAAGGTGGCCAAGTCATGTCTGGCTGGCTGTCTCGCAATCCTCTTGTGGGTGATCTCGAGGACACTGGCAGTGATGATGCTTACCGTGGCATCCAGGCAGGTCAGGAGGTGGAAGGCATGGGTGACCACCGTGATGTCGCAGAGGTCTCCCATGCGGGCGACGTTGGCACCTCCCTATCTACTAATGGGGGCAAACCTTGCTGAGTGCAGAGGACTCTGCAGAAAAGGAGAGGGACAGTTTTGTTGTGGAGAGGCAAGATTTAAGAATGTTATACTACAACCCTGCCCTGTGGTCTTCTCCTAGGAGGAGGCTTGGGAACAAGCTGGGGGGGAAAATGAGAGACAGAGAGTTCCCAACTGTGTGCACCATTTACTTTTTTCTCATCAGGAGTTGGCATATTCACCTCTTCTGCAGGGCTAGCAGCATCAGTGTAATTTTAGTCTCAAGATGGAAGCAGATGTTGCCTTTCCTCACCTTTTTACCACCAGAAACATTTTATGGCATCACAAAGCAAAAACAAGTAAACATCTGTCTTTTGTTGTGCCCCCAGTACCCAAATCTTTCACTTCACAGCTCCAGTGCAGTGGGGAACAAGATGTTTCGTCCTTTTTTGCCAGTGGTGTTCTACAGCAGCTAGCTTATTTGCTGGAGATGAGGGTTGGGAAAAGGATTTGGACCACGGCAAAGAACCATGCGTTGAAACAACGTTCAGAGCGAAACAGAATTAAAGTCAATTTGTTTAGCAGCATTTTAGCTTGCAAAGTGCAGCTCCAGTCATACAAAACCTCCAATTTTAGGCGATTTGCTCTCTGAACAATCCATTTTAGTGTGTGTGTGTTTATGAATGTATATGTTACACCCTGGGGAATTATGCAATTATGCGCTCAGGCAGTTTTGCGCATAAAATGCATAACTGCACATAATTTTGCATAATTTAATTGGGGTGAGCGTTAGTCTCCACCTCTGTGGGGCTCCTGGCACTCCAGCTGGGAGGAGGCACTGGCAATCATCCCACAGAAAGATATACAGGGTAACTCTTCTTTTAAATCAATCTCTCTCTCTCTCTCTCTCTCTTTCTCTCTCAAGCAACCTGCTTGTCAGAGCTGTTGTTACCTAATAGGACATGGGTGGGCAAAATATAGCCCATAGGGCTATCCAATTCCAAGCCATGATTTTGTTCTAAGTGGTTTCCTCATCATGTTAGAGACAACGATGTATGTTGAAATATTGAAACTGTATTGCAGCTAAGACCTGATCCAGTGCCTGTTGGTATCAGTGGCAGACATTCCATTGACTTCAGCAGATTGTAGATCAGACCCGTCCTAAATAGCTGGAGGAAGGGGACCTGCATATCTTTTGACTGGATAGACTGCAGGATGGGAATATCATAGGCTTAGCCAGTTTAGTGGAAGTGAAGGTTAAAACAGCATGGAAACTTACTTTCTCATGACATTTAATAGTAAAGGCCTGATACCACAGTGCTTCACCTCAGCTGAGTTCACGGACATCCTCCATCCACCTGAGAAATTGTTCCCACTTTTAATATTTAAAAATATTAAACTGTTTAAATTGTAATGACCTTTCATTAGGGAGATGATGACGTGCCTTCATGCATGGGACTCCTTAAAATATTGCATTGTTTTCATTTTCTCTGTTTGTTTGGCAGTTATCTAATAAAGACCTATGTCCTGGTTCCTGACCCAGGTGTAATTAAATAACTGTGAAGTGCTTCCAGGAGACAAGCTATTACAGGGAGTGTGATTAGTCTTTCAACAGTTAAGAGGGTTACTAACTTCTATTTTTTTATTGTCTTCTAATATTGGAGCTAAAACACCCTGAAATCTGTTGCACATGATTCTCTTACAGACAAGTTTTTGTTTTTTTTTGGTTTGTTGTGAGTAATCTAGCAAAGTATTGTTAAAGCTTGGCAGTTTGAAAAATCAGCCTTTTGCACTCTTTGGAAAGGCTCCTAATTCATTTTGCCAAGTTAGCCAGCATTGTCACTTACTTTGCTGTTCAGTTCTAATTACCAGCGAGGCAATGAGTGGAATATTTCCACAGAGATGTGCTTGTAGGAAGTTAATGACCGTATTTTCTCTACAAGCCAGACATTTTATAGATATGTTATATCTAGTCTGGTTCTAAGGAGTGGTTGTATACTTATGCTTCTTGAATTTAGTATACAGTGTGTTGTTTTTTCTCATAAAGGACCTTGAACAAAACTTGAAACAAATCAGGCTACAGAACTGGCAAGAGAAAAGAGTCCTGGAAAAGAAGCATAAAACAAAGGTAACGGAGGTCATTCTCTAACATTCTTTCCCTTTATCGTTTTCCCCTCTTTGCTTCAAATGGTTCTATTACAGGCATGGGCAATTATTTGGGCTGGAGGGCTACTTAGGGAGTGCTGGTGAGCTGGTGCAGGCTGGATCAGTACCCCTCTGCCTCCCTGGCCCGCAACAACTCATAAAAACTCCCTTAATGGCTCTCCATGGAGATGACCCAGGGTTGGGGTGAGCAGGGCACGCTCTGCTGGGCATATAGGGTGGGGCTGTGGGCGGGTGGGGAGCAGTGTCTGGGAATGGGATGGGCAGGGCTGGGGCTGGGATCACAGGACGCTGACAGCATGGGGCCAAGTCCTGGGGCAGAGCCACAGTCTGTTCCCAGCATGCCCCTGCCTGCAGAACCGATGCCCGTTATACAGACATGTGGGTAGTGGATCATGGCTGTACCCTAGGTTGGGCCCCACACTATCACTGCCCTGTGATCCTGCTCTGTGATCCTGGCCCTAGCTTCAGCCCCACCTACCTGCCCTGCTCCCAGATGCCACTCCCTGCCTATCTGTGGCCCCATCCCATCTGCCTGGCCAAGCTCATCATGCCCATGTATGCTCAGGCTGGTCTCCATAGAAACCCTGGCCACTCACTCCATCCAATGCCCCAGCAGTGCGTGCAGGATGGATGGGCTGGGGTGCCTGGGCAATGGGGCTGGGTCTAGTGGCAGCAGCAACACTGGCAATGGTGGCTGGAAAGAAGTGGAGTCCAGCTGCCATGCTACACCCAGGGGCAGCAGGACCAGCCACACATGCCACAGCCCAGGCTGCCCTCTGTGCCTGGGCCAGACAGGGCTGAGGGACCCATTGTGGGCCAGATAAAATCACTTGGAGGGTCAAATCTGGCCCGTGGGCCACATTTTGGCCACACCCATCCTATTATGTCGGTAGCTCAGACAAGCAGGTTGCTTGATAGCGAACACCAAAGATACTTTTATGGATTGCTGGATAAGAGTTTCTTTGGGGTCATCAAGGAAAGGAACAGTCTTACCCACCGGTTGAGAATACTCCTAAACTAGAGATTCTCAAAGTGTGATCCATGGGCCAAATGCAGTCTACAAGCCCCTTTTTGATGTGGCCAACTAGTCAGGGTTGCACCTTGGAAATGTTCCTTGAGGGGTGAAACTTTGGAAACCACTGTCCTAACAGTGATAACATCTGCTCTTAGGGCTTGTCTATACTTGGCTATTCTGCTGTCATTATTTCTGGTGTCAGGCAGCAGCTGCTACAGGGAAGCAGTCAGAATTTGTTTATGTTCACATACTTGCAGTCCTTTTTAAGGTACATATATTTTGATAAAGTATTTTAATAGAGTCTGTGAATATTCTTTTCTTAGGGAGGAGTAAAGTTTGAAATTAATTTAGATGCATGTGTTCCTGAGGAAGACACCATGCAAAAAGAGGTATGTTGTAGTTACTTTAAAATACTTTTGCTTCAGTAGACTGAAGACATGATAGCAGCTCCACAATTTAAGTTGTAATTAGGCTTCTATTCCTGTCTCATTTCCTCTGTTGTTAGAATAAGTCCATTCTACCCAATACTGTATAATCTTCTACCCGAGTAAGATTCTTAGCGAGAAGTTTGATGGTAATGTACGGTGCTTCCATGAGATAAGAAACAGTGAAAGTGGAAGTTATATCACTTCTGTAAAAGTTTTTTGGGAACATATCTAAACAGTGGATTTGTTTACAGACTACACATTTGGCTTGTAAATTACTTTATTAAAGGTACCTTTGAGAGTTAGTGGAAAATATTAATGGTTATTCCTGGAGGTATTACAATAGACATGAATCTGTGGTTGTTTCATGGACTTCAAAAGTGCACTGCATTTCTGAAAAAAAATTATACAAAAACTCCTTATCAGAAAAATTCCTGTCAGTTTACAAACTCAGTCCCTTTCATATTTATAATATCTGTAGAGAGAGACCCCCCCACAGGGTGTCAGTTATGTTCAGAGATTATAATTTATGCAGAATCAAGGGGGAGCAGTGGGACCAAGAGTCCATCTAGTTAGACTGAATTTATAGAAGTGAACTGCACAAGCTCCAGGACCTGATCCTGATTGGTCTGTCTTGATTCATTTTATTTTCACACTATGCATTGCCATGGCCCAGACTCTTGCAGGCTTCGCGAGCTTAACTGGAACAGAGAATCATTAGACGTGGTAAAAGAATGAAGCCTATACAGCTTTGCAGAATCAGGGGTGTACTCAGGACTGTCTTACATAGCTTTGGTGGGGTCTGTACCAGAGCTACCATACATTTTGTGGTTCAGACAGCTCATGTTCACCAACCTAGGAGTTAAGCAATTTGGACAAGACATCCTACTGTTCCCTAGTTCAGGTACTTGATACTTTTTTCCTAAAACTCTGGTATAAAATTGCTCAGAATGCAAAAAAAAAATTCATATCCTTTTTGGTGGAGGGTTGAGCTGGCCTGTGAACAAATGTAGAGGAGAACAATAATCATTCTTCATCCTTTTCTTGAAATAAATTCAAGAAAAATAATATTTAAAAGATGGGCCCAATTCATTCATTACTTCATTACTCCAGTTTTCTACCTGAGTGGCTCCATTTTTATTACAATGAAAGCTCACCAGCACAAAAAAGGAATAAATCAGGTGCACTATGTTTGGAAGAAATTAAATGATCCTTTAGACAGCATAGGGTTTTCATTTGTTAGAACTTGAACTTTTATAGCCATGAAGTCAAGATGTAGTTATGATCAATATCTATTAATTTAGGAGGTTATGGATATCTGTACTTTAAAAATCCTCAAATCTCAAAGGAAAACTCCTGTCCAAAACATGTCTCTTCATTTATTAGTGAGCCATCCACCAGGTAGTCTTTTTACATGTCTGAAAAGCTTTATGAAAACCAATGTTATACCAATAACAAAGCAACTCCTGCTGTAACATTTGTTACATTCTGAATGAGAAAAAAAATGGAAGTGATTAAATGTTTCTGTTCTGATTCTTAGTAAACTCCATTTTGTTTTAGGAACCAGATAGACTTAATGAGACTCTAACTTTTGATGACAGTAAGAATCTTAAGGAGAAACTGGTGAATGTGTATGAAGAGCACACAGACAGAGCTTTGGAAGAACTATGTTGTCAGGAAACAGGTATTTTATAGTGCAGGTTGGGTCAAGTGAGTATCTTAATTTGAACATACAGGTTTTCCTTGCTTTATGCGAGTTCTGTATGTGTGAATTCACTCTTATGCAATGACCCTTTTTATACCAAAATTTTTTTATATGCTAGGTAAATTCACTCTTATGCAATCGGTGTGATGGAAGCCTGCGGTCAATTGCTTTGTGAGGTGCATTGTATGAGTGATGCACACCAAAAGACAGTCTCCTGTGTGGATCTGTGCTCCTCACTCATTGTCCACGACACGTTTCTGTCATTGCCATTCTCATTATGATAGTGCCCTGTGCTTGTGTGTACTGTCTGCTGCTGCTGAGTACCAAATTAGTCTTATAAAAGTGGTAGAAATGGGCCTGAGGGTCAGTACAGTCAAGGTCTTGGAACGTATCCCTATTCATTACATTGTAAAGTGGGTTCCCTTTACGCAAATTCGAGTTATGCTGTACATGTGTTCCTGGAAAAAGGTGCATAAGGTGAAGGAAACCTGTACTGTGTTCAGTCAGTGACTGCTACCACTTCATAGATTTCATAGACATCAGGGGTGGAAGGGACCTGGAAGATCGAGTCCAGCCCCCTGCCTGACAGGCAGGAAGTCAGCTGGGGTCATAGGATCCCAGCAAGATAAGCATCCAGATTTCTCTTGAAGGCGTTCAGTGTAGGTGCCTGAACCACCTCCGATGGCAGACTATTCCAGACCTTGAGGGCTCGGACAGTAAAGAAATTCTTCCTTATGTCCAGCCTGAAATGGTCTTGCAGGAGTTTATAACAGTTTGACCTTGTCATCCCTTGGGGTGCTCTGGTGAACAA